TGAAATTTTTGCATAATTTAAATGGAAACAACACCATTTGGAATACTATATGAAATTCTCATAGAATTTCATTTGAAATTCATGAAGAAAATCAATTGCTATTCTAGTAAAACTTCATATTTAACTCTAAAAGAATATTATTCGATATTCTTGCAAAATTTACTACGCAATTATAGAAGAATTTCATGAGTAATTCCAGGAGAATTTCATTCGAAATTCCAAAAGAATTTCATTTGAATTTTCAGAGGAATTTCATTCGAAATTCCACAATAATTTCATAAGACATTCTAGGAGAATTTCATTCTAAATTCAAGAAGATTTTAAATTTAAACTCAAGTAGAATTTCATTCGAAATTCTTGTAGAATTTAATTCGAATTTCGTGAAGAATTTCATTCGAATTTCTTGAAGAATTTCATTCGAAATTCTTGTAGAATTTCATTCGAAATTCTTGTAGAATTTCATTCCAAACTCATGCAGAATTTCATTAGAAATACATACATAATTTCTTTGAAATTCTTACATTTTAGCAACAACATGCTGTGGAATACTTTATGAAATTCTTGTAGAATTTCATTCGAAATTGATGAAGAATTTCATTTGAAATTCACATAATTCTTCATATGAAACCATGAAAAATATTATTGAATAATCTTGCAGTATTCAATTCGAAATAAATAAAAAAAAACAATCAAAACAATTTGTAGAATGTCACCAAATTCTTGTAGAATGTCACCAAATTCTTGTAGAATGTCATAATATCAAATCTCCGTTGAAATTCTTGAGGAATTGCTTTTGAAATTTTCGAAATATTTTCTTAGAAATTCTTGTAGAATTTCTTGAAAAATTTCCTTAGAAATTCTTGAACAATTGACTGAGAAATGATTGTTGAATTTGTTTATAAATTCTTGTAGAATTTCCACAGATATTTTTGTAGAAATTTAAAAAATATTCTGGTAGAGAATCTATAGAAATTCTTAAAAAAAAATCTTGAAATTCATGCTTATAAATCTTGTTGAATTTCTTTAACATTTCTTTAAAAGTTTCCAGAACAAATACATTCGAAACGGAAGAAAAATTTAATTTGAAATGCCAGAAAAATTTTGTAAGAAATTCGAGCAGAATATCATTTGAAATTCTTGTGGGATCGTGTTTGTTTACTGAGCAGAAAATTATGGGTTTAATCCCAAGCTCTCCGTCATGACTCTTAAAATTTATGATCACTAAACAAAATTAATATGTTCTTTCGATAGCCGGCTATCGAGAGATTAAATAAACAACAAATAAACAATACATACTTTTGGTTGCATCGCCAACTTGAGGTGAATCCTAACCGAATACCCTACCCAACCCTCCAACTCCGTAGCACTTATGAGGGTGTCGCTAAGTCGGTGGCCTCTCGTTAAGTAAGTACTACATCAACATTTCCTTCCCTATCCCTAGTTATGGTAAAGATGGGCGTGGCCGGGAATAGCGACAGTCATGCTTCTGTTACTCTTGTTTAGATTGGAACCAATGTTTACTCCCCAGCATTATTCCTGAAAGTAGTCTAACTGAGAATTTCAGATGAGACGTGAGTGTCGCTAGTATCCAATCTACGAAGTATATCATAACAACGCTAACGCTAATTTCATTTGAAATTCATGTAGAATTTCATTATAAATTCTTTTAGAATTGCATTCTACATTTTTTGTAGAATTTTATTTGAAATTCTTGCAGAATATCATTCGAAATTATTGCAAAATTTTCTTCAAAATTCTTGAAGAATAACATTTGAAATTCTTGTAAAATTTCAATTAAAACATTTCCAACAGCACCCTTTGGAAAACTTTATGAAATTCTTGTAGAATTTCATTTGAAATTTATGAAGAAAATCAATTTCAATTCTAGTAAAACTTCATATTAAACTCTTGGAGAATATGCTTCGATATTCGTGCACAATTTAATTCGAACTTCTAGAGGAATTTCGGAAGAGATTCCAGAAGAATTTCATCTAAAATTCTAGGAGTATTGAATCAGAAAATCAAGGAGAATTTCATTATTAATTCAAAATGAATTTAATTTGAAATTCGAGAAGAATTACAGTCGAAATTTTAATAGAATTCCATTTGAAATTCTTGTAGAATTTCATTAGAAATGCATACTGAATTTCTTTGAAATTCTTGCAAAATTTAAATCGAAACATTTTAACATTAACGTGCTGTGGAATACTATATGAAATTCTTGTAGAATTTCATTCGAAATTGATTAAGAGTTTAGTTAGTTTAGTTTTCTTCATTATCGGTTCGTCTCGTAAATGATGAAGAATTTCGTCTGAAATTTATATAAATCTCCATATGAAAGCTTGGAAATTCATTTGAAATTTTAGAAGAATTCAATAAGAAATCCTTGTGTCCTTAGTTATTCTTGTACAATTTACTAAGAAATGATTGTAGCATTTGTTTAGAAATCATTGTAGAATTTCTATTGACATTCTTCTAGAATGTCTGTAAAAATTCTTACAGAATTTTCGAGAAATTCATGTACAATTTCTTTAGAAATTATTGTAGAATTTCTTAAACATTTCTTTTAAAATTCTAGAACAGTTTTCTGAGAAAGTTCTGTATAATTTTATTAGAAATTAAATTACAATATCTTCAGATATTCAGGTAGAATATAATTAGCTCTGAAAGAATTTTTATTAGAAATTATATTTTAGATTAGATTATAAATTCTGGAAAAAGTTCAGTAGGAATTCAGATAAAACTTCATTAGAATAACTTGTACAGTTACATTCAAAATTCTTGTTGAATCTTATTTGGAACTCGTTTGAAATTTCATTTGAATTTCTTGGATATTTTTGAGAAGAATTTGATTTGAAATCCGTGTACAGTTTAATTTATTGTTTTAATGGAATTTTGTTGGATATTCGTTCGAAATTTTTTAATTTTTTTTTCGATATTCTTGTGGAATTTCATACCAAATTCTTCAAAAATTCATTTCAATATCCCTATGGAATTTCATACGAAATTAGTTTGAATTTCTTGTAAAATTTCGTTTGAATTTATTATAGAATTCAACTCAAAATTCCGGCATAATTTCATGCTTAATACTTGATAATCTTCATTCAAAATGATTGTATAATTTGACAAGCAAGTTCTGCATTATTTCCTTTAAAATTCTTGTAGAATTGGATTTGAATTTTTTGTAGAATTTCATTTGAAATTCTTGTAGAATTGGATTTGAAATTCTTGTAGAATTTGGTTAACAATTATTCTTTGAATGAAAAGATTTCATTCTTTTTTTTTTGTAGAACTTCATCAGAAATTCTTTTTGAATTGAAATGAAATTTTTTGTCGAATTTCATTAGAAATTTTTGCAGGATTTCGTTATGAGATCATTTCAGATTTAAATACAAATTATTTTACAGCTTAATTACAATTTTTTCTTCGGTTGAATTGCGTGTACAATTTCATTCGAATTCTTGTAGAATTTCATTCGATATTTTTGTGGAATTTGTTTGGTAATTCTAGTAGGATTTGAAATTTTTGTTTAATTTCTTTCAATGTATGTGTCCACCTGCATTCTTAATCAGTGTTTAGTTTTATTCAAAATTCTTGCGGAATTTCATTCGAATTTTGTTTTTTTTTTTATCTTGTGGGATTTCATTCGATATTCCTGTTGTGGAGTTGCATTCGAAATTCATGAAATATTTCAATCCCAATATAGGACTTCAACTAAAATTCTTGTAGAATTTCATTAAAACCTTCTAGAAGTATTTCAGTCAAAATTCCAGAAGAATTTACTTTAAAATTCGTGTAGTATTTCATTAAAATTTTTATAATAATTTAATTTGAAATTCTTGCAGAATTTGATTCCAAATTCTTGTAGAATTTCTTTCAAATTCATGTTAAATTTAATTTCAGTAGAATTTCATTCTTGTCGAATGTTATTCCAAATTCAGAATTTCGAATTTCATTCGAAATTTAAATAGAATTTCAGTCCAAATTCTCGTATAATTTGATTCGAACATAGTCTTTCATTTTAAATTCTTGTAGAATTTCATTCAAAATTCTTGCATAATTGCATTTGAAATTCTCCGATAATTTCATTCGAAATTTCTGAGGACTGTCATGCGAAATTATGGTAAAACATAATTCAAAATTTTGTTTTAGCTTTCGGTTGAAATTAATTTAAAAAATAATTACAATTTCAAAAGAAATGCATTTTAAAATTGAAAAATTCTCGCAAAAATCATTTCAGAATTTAATTGAACTACAAGTATCGCAATCGCAAATCTTTAGAAGGTCATCGAACCTGTGTGAACGGAACAATCAATTTCCCAAACATCCATTATGTCTTTATGCCATTCACTCCCTATGTTGACCCAATACTCGCCGAAAACGCTTCGTAATGTGCTTCCAAACAAAACTGCCCAAATGACGGGCAAATGATAGGGTTTCAACCGACTTAAACACCGCACACGATCTCCTCGGTTTGATCTCGTTACGCCTAGAGGTCACAGTCACTTACGTTGTGATCTCAAGAGGGATCAGGACCGAAACCTGTCATTATCGGCACACACACACACACATACCGTAACCATCAGCAGCAGAACCAGAGGCAAACGAAAAAGCGATCACCGAAATTAGCATATTAGTTAGTAGCTCACGACAACACACGCAGTATAATCAGTCATGACAGCAGCACTTGTTTCGTGCACGTGACGTCGTTGTCGTCGAAGAGGTGGTTCGAAGGTAGGATGATTGAAGTTCAAAGCAGCTGGTCGGTCAGTTTGGCATGGTGAAAGTCAGGCGCTTAGTGTTTAGGCACCGAGGAATTGTGCCCTTCGTAAAGTTCAATTTTTGGACTGGTCTCCAAATGGTAGGGGGGTAGTTTTTCAGGACAGTCAGTTCTCCACCAATAATGCTAGCAGTGCTCAGTGCGTCAATTTGACTTTAGCTTTGCAGTGTTTACGTTATAGGTATGGTTATAGGAAAGGAAAAGTGGTCACAATACTCACTCCAAACACGAATCCGAGGATGGCGTTCTTGGCCTCGAACTTGGGGTCCGATGGAATTTTCCGCTTGTCACGGTCAAGGTCGTTGCTGAGCGAGGCGTCCTGTGGAAGAAAGTGGAAGGAGAAGAGATTGCATGGGTGGTGGGTGTGTAAGGGTTAACAAGGAGGTGTGAATGTTTTTTTTTTTTATAAATGACTGACGGAGTTGTAATCAGAACTGGTGAATAATGACATTGATGATGAGAAAAAGTTTCGATCATCCTTTCTTCAAATATTAATATTGACTTCAAATTGTGAAATTGATTTTCAATCCTGTGAATTCTACAAGAATTTCACTCATCAACAAGATCGTGCTAGGTTTTCCTCTGCAAGAATGTCAAATAACAATTCTTGAAACAGTTCAGACAATGGTACTACACTTGTTGTGATATTTGATTTGATATTTGAAATTAACATTTTCTTATGAATATTAGCACCAATCTGGCTCTAACCAGATCAATCAATTTAATAAACAATTAAAATGCTATGTACATCTTGCTGTCAAGGAAACCTTCTCGCCTCATAATATAAAACCTGGACCAAGTCTTATTAATAGTTTTCCCTCATCAAAACAAAAAATACCATCAGTCAAACCGCATCGAATCCAATCAATTTGTGCCCCAAAAATCAAAAGCTCCATCTTCGCCATTCCAAATTTCCCCACAATCAAACAATCATCCGACTTTTGACCGGCACCGGTCTCTCAAATCGATCCAAGGTCGTCCGATGATCATCGGAAAATTTTCCGCTTGTTAAGTCCGATATACACCACCGCTGCCGGGTAGTATATTACCCAAGCAGGATCGCGCTTTGAAATCGCTCCTCGGTCCACAGTCACAGTCAGTAGGTAAGTCGGCAGCTGCAACAGCTGTTTGGCTCGATGTCATAATTTCTGCTGCAATAGAGAAAACTCTTCTCTCGCTCCTCTTCTGGCCCCGTCGCATCGCATCCAAGCGCAAAGTAAGTAAGTCGCTCTCGCACACAAGCCGCTAGCTAAAACTGGCTAATAGGTGGGCAAACAGAAGAAAATCAGATGGCCAAATGGCCACGAATCCGAGAAAAAGTGGGTAAATTTCTTCTTCTCACCACTTTCGTCCAGGTGATGAAAATTGACTGATTGGATTCGATTCGATTGGATGATTGTTTAGGAGGAACAGTAATTGATTGCGATTCGAGCGTTTTTCAATTATCCAAAAAATTAAAAAGCTTATGCAAAAATGTTTGCAATTTTTTTTTGTTTGATTCTCCGTTCGGACGGTTGTCGCCCAATGTGCAATATTCCACGCCACCAAGACCGTTTATGAGTGGTTTTAAATTATGCAACCGCACGTCGTGCCTTCTCCGTTCGTCGGTTGAGCAGAGCGCGCGGATGATACAGCCTGGCTGAGCATTCACCGGAGAGATTGTTTGCATTCGACGTAGGTTTCAGCAGAAGCCATGGGGCTTGAATCACCTGACTGGCCTGGTTTCGAGGCGATGGTTTGGTTAATTTGAACAGGTTTTGAGATCAGGCTGAATGTTTCGGTGTTGATTGTTTTTGCCTATTGTAACTTTCAATCCATAGCAATAAAATTGAATTTGGTTTAGAAAAGTTTGGTTTGTTTCTATTTCCCGTTCTAAGAAAGCATCAATTGGAATTTAGTTTAACCTTCAAGTCCAAGCCCTCAAGAATATCAATTTCGTTTCACAAGTTCAGCAGACTTTTTAAAATTCTGCATAGTTAAAAAATGGCTGATAAAACTAAGCCTAGCCAAAACCTGAACCGTCAACTAAATCCTGGAATAGTTTGAAGCGAAATTGTACAAGAATTTTAAAAAAGTCGTCCAGCTTATGAATTAGAATTCTTGTTAAATTTCCTTCCTTCGTAAAAAATTCTAAAGTCTGTTCCATTTATCATTTGATCGCACAAAATGAATCATTCCTCAAAGAGGAATAACATACAAAAACGCTAAAAATATCATTTTGTAGGTTTTTCATCATGTCTTACACAGTAGTACTGTACTACCTTATCTGCCATCTTTTCCCACCACTTCTCCAAATCAGATGGTGTTTAGATTGTTTAAAATAGACCAACATTTTCGATGGGTCGAAAATCTGGTCAATTTGGTGGATTGATACTGTTTTCAATAAAATCGACTTTATTCTGCTTGTACCATTCAATGACATCCCTGCTGTATCGACAGCTGGCTGACTAAATGAATGGCAAAAATCTCTTCTGGACACATTCCTTCATGGTAGCTCCAGTGATGAATACTGTTGTTATCTTTCCACAACTGCAGATGCATTGCCAAATCATCAACTTGCGAGCAAATTTATCTGCAAGGACAAATTTTAACTCACGTTTGTCCGCTATATCCAAAGTTCATTTTTACGTAAGTTTCATCGTTTGTTTTCAACGTTAGTGTGCAACATTTTTCAACGGCTCTCGAGTTCCATTTTCGATAGCTTTCATATATGAAAGTTTCACCAATGAATGAAAAATCCTTCCAGATCAAAACGCTGTCCACAGTTTCTTGCCTGGACAACTAGAGACGCAACAAGAATTAAAAATAAGCGGCAAAATAGTTATACTGATGAATTTTTTGTAGAATTTTCTTACAATTTTATTAAAAATTCTTGTAAATTTCCTTTGAAATTCTTGTTGAAATCTTGTATAATTTCCTTAGAAATTCTTGTAGAATTCTCTTTAATGTCTTGCAGAATTTTCAAAGAATTTCATGTTGAATTTCCTTAAAAATTCTGTTAGAATTTCCTTGGAAAACCTGGGGCATTTCCTTTGAAATTCCTGCAGAATTTACTAAGATATTTTTTAAGAACTTCATTTGTTCTTGTAGAATTTTTTAGAAACGCTTGTAGAAATTTAATTGAAATTCTTGTTGAATTTCCTTAGACAATTTGCTACAATTTTCTTGTAAATTCTTGTAGAATTACCTAAAAAAATTTTGTAGAATTTCCATTGAAACTCTAGTTGAAATTCTACTAGAATTTCTTAGGAGATTCTTTTAGAATTTTCTTAGAAATTTCCATAGCACTTCCATAGGAATTCTTGTAGAATTTTCATAGACATTCTTGTAGAATTTGCTTTGACATTCTTGTTGAAGTTACATAGAAATCCTTATAGAATGTTCTGAAAATTTTTTGAAGAATTTCGTTTAAATTCTTATAGAATGTCTTTACATTTATTTGTACATTTTCCTAAGAAATTCTTATATAAATTTCTGAAGAATTTCCGTAGCAGTTATGTTGAATTTTCTTCGAATTTTTTTACAATTTTCTAAGATTTTTTTGTATAGTAACCTCAGGAAATTCTTGAAGAATTTCTGTAGAACTTTTTGAAGAAATTTCTTTGAAATACTTTATGAACTTTCTTTGTAATTCTTGAAAAAATGTCTATCAAATTCTTTTAAAATTTTTTCTAGAATTTTACCAGTATTACTTGGAGAACCTCATTTAAATTTCGTGCATAATTTCCTAACCAATTTCTCTAGAATTTTGTTAGAAATTCTGGAAGAAATCCTTTAGAATTTTTTAAAACTTCCTTAAAAATTCTTGTAATATTTCCTTTCAAATTCTTGTGTAATTGCCTTAGCATTTCGTGTAGAATTTTCTAAGAAATTCTTGGAGAATTTCCTGAAAAATTCCTGTAGAATTTCTTTAGGAATTCTTGTAGAATTCTTATAGAAATTCTTGAGGAATTTCCTTAGAAATTTTAGTAGAATTTCCTTAGAAATTCTTATAGCATTTCCTTGAAAATCCTTGTAGAATTCCATGCGCAATAAGTGAAGACTTTTGTTTTAAATAAGAATTTGTTTAGAACTTTTCATCAAATGTAGTTCGAAATTTTAATCGAATTTCCTTAGAAAGTTTTCGAAAGAACTTGGAATGAAAAGTTTCTAAAGTAGAAATTCCTGAGAAATTCTTCTAGAATTTCCTTAAACATTCTTGAAGAATTTCCTTAGTAATTTTTGAAAAATTTCCTTATAAAGTCTTGAAGAATTTCTTATGAAATTATTATAAAAATTATAGAAATTCTTGAAGAATTTCCTTAGAAATTTAAGCAGAATTTCTTTAAAAATTATGGTAGCATTTCCATGAAAATCCTTGTAGAATTCCATGAGCAATTCGTTAAGACTTTTGTTTTGACTATGTTATAAAATTTCTTTGGAACTTTTCATCAAAACTAGTTGGAAAGTTTAATAGAATTTTCATAGAAAGTTTCCGAAGGAACTTGGAATGAAAAATTTCTAAAGTAGAATTTCATTAAAAATTCTTGTAGAATTTTCTTACACATTTTTGTAGAATTTTCTTACACATTTTTGTAGAATTTCTGTTGAAATCATCGTAAAATTTTCGGCAAAATTCTTATAGAGTTTCCTTAGAAATTTTTGTAGAGGCACTTCAAATTTTCTTTGATATTAAAAAAAATCTTTGAAATTTATGAAGAATTTTCATTGAAATTATTTTCAAAATTAAATTGAAAACTTTATATACTTTCTTTTGAAATTCTTGTAGAATTTGCTTATAATTTTTTTTTTCTAGAATTTAATGAGACACTCTTGTAGATTTCAATCTGAAAAAAAATAGAGTACCTTTTTTTGAAACTCATGCAAAATTTTCTTAAAAATCCTTGTAGAATTTCTTTAAAATAACCTTAAAAATTCTTAAGGAATTTCCTTAGATGTTTTTAAAGAATAAGCTCAAGATTTTTTAGTAAAATTGCAATCGAGTTTTTAATAGAAATTCCCTAGAAATGGTTCTAAATTTTTCAAAAAAAATCTGGTATCATTTCCATAGAAATTTAAGAAAAATTAACATAAAAATCCTCGAATAATTTCCTTAGAAATTCTTGTAGCATGTCTGTTGATACTATCGTAGATTTTTTTAATACTCGTAGAATTTCCTAAGAAAACTACCGTATTTTTGAAGAAATTCTTGAAAAAATTTCTGTGAAATTTCCGAAGAATTTCCTTTGAATTTATTGAAGAATTTTCTTTGAAATTTTTGAAGAAATTTCTCTTAATTTCTTGCAGATTTTTTTAAAGTTCTTGTTGAATTTTCCATAT